GAGCTGAAGGCAGACGCTTCATCGAAGGAGCTACCCAAGCGCCCCCAGAAATTTTTACATTTTTAATGTCAAAGCCACCGATATTTTCTTCCACAGTTTGTACTTTGGGGATCTTGTTAAAGAATACCTTCCCAGCCATGAAGTCAGGAAGATACGGCTTCTTTTCCCCGAAGTTGTACACATTTTGCTTTCTGCTGTCACAGGCTTCTTTGCCATTAAAGGCAGCCGTCAAAGAGTCAGGCTGCTCCTCACCTGCATTCCCACCCAGCTCCCGCCTCCTGCTGGCTCCTTTCTGCCCTCTCTGCCTCCATCCCTCCTCACGTCCTCCCTCCCATCTGTTCTCCCACCCCCACCCTCGTCCTCCATCTATCCTGCAGAACAGTCCCACTCTCCCCAGGCCCTCCTCCTGCACCCAGCTCCAGGCCAGAGAGTCTGACTAACACACCAGCTCTGTTACGTGCCCGCTGTGGGATTTCAGCCACATGCTCAGCCTGCCACAAACACGTGCCACAAAGCTTGATGCAAATGCCCGCGCAAACACCTGCTCAGATGGCTGCCACCGAAACCACCCTGCCCGTCCGCACCCCCGTCCGCACCCCCGTCCACCCTGGTCTCTGCCCACGGAGCTGACTTGTCTGTTCTGCAGAAACAGCCATCTTTGCTCTCTGGCTTCTGGATGCCTACAGCATGCCCTGGTGCAAGGTGAGTGTGATGGTGCAGAAGGAGGTCCGAGTGTTTCCTCCTCTGGACCCTTCCCCCAGGGTGGTCCGGCCAGGTCCCTCAACTGAAGGGCACAGCCCCTCTAGTCTACGGCTTCATGCTCCTCCCACATTCCAGCCCCACTCCCCTGCATACCCCAGGCAGGATCACTGCATTATCCTCATGGCCCTCTGCCTGCCACACCCCTATGAATCACACCCCGTAAGCACCTCCTCGTGCGGTCTATGGTGGGTGTGCAATGGCCACCCTCCCTCCTTCAGAAACCCCAACTGCTCTCAGTCGAGGCAGAAACCCTAGGAAAAGTCAGAAAGGCAATGGCAGGCAAATGCACCAACAGGTTCCAAAGACAATTTAACTGGTGATGACCAGTTGGACCACTGTTCTCCTCAAGATGGGATGTCATAAAGATGTGTGGTGATGGTCAGTATACTCCAGGGCCAGCCTGGCCACCAGAGAGTCAAGCTGTCCCTTCTGGCACTTGCTGGGCCCTGAGCTCTGATGAAAGCTGCGAGGTGATGAAGGGGGAGACGTCAGCAGGAGGGTGTGGTGACGGGCCCAGGTTTTCCCCGGGGCTTTGTCAAGGTCAAAGGAGGAGGCGGCCTCCTTCCACCCCCCAGCCAGCCTGCTGGAAAGTTAAATTCCATCAGAGAGCAGGGACTGCTGCCAATTAGAGATAGAGGGGACAGCACGAAGGGCACACGCTCTGAAGTTGGGTAGGCCTCTGCCGAGTGCCCAGCCCTGCCGTTTTCTAGCTGCGTGGCTTGGCAGGTCCCTCGGCCTCTCTGAGCCAGGTGTCCTGGTCCGCGAAGCGAGGGTGGCATTCCTGCCCTTGTAGAGTTTTAGAGATGTGCTTATGAGCCGTTCAAACTGTGGCACATTAGTTATGCTTAGCATGCATAGCCACAGTCGGGAGCATTCCTAGGATTAACATGAAAACAGCACTGCTAACTAAACACGCTCTTTGAACTTAAGAAAAACGCACATCTCTTTTAATGTTGAAACTACTGACCGTTGACCTTCACTGCTTAGTCGCACAGATGAGGATGCTGAGGCCCAGAGAAGGTGAGTAGCTTGCCCGAGGTCACACAGCAGTAGCAGAAATGGGTCTGGACCTAGGGCCTTCTGAAACTGTTTTCACAGAATCATGCTGCGGCAGACACATCCTAGGGTGACTGGCAATGAACCACACCCAGTTGGGGTCCTCTCCCCTCAAGTGTGGGCAAGACATATGAGTTGCTTCTTTCTTTAAAAAAGATGTATTTATTAATTTGAGAGAGAGAGCAGGGGGAGGGGCAGAGACAGAAGGAGAAAGAGGATCTCAAGCAGACTCCACACTGAGCGCAGAGCCTGATGCGGGGCTCAATCCCATGACCCCGAGATCATGACCTGAGCCAAAACCAAGAGTTAGACATTCAACTGATTGAGCCACCCAGGCGCCCGTGACTTGCTTCTAGCTAACAGAATATGGGATGCCCCTACATTTCATCACATAAGGCCCTGTCTTAGCTGATGGAGGGAGAGAGATCCTCCCGAGGGCCTTGCAGAAGTCAACAGCCGTGCTAGGAAATGCCCGTGGACAGAGCCATGAGGTGGGGCCTGAGCGTGGCCTCCAGGTGATATCCAGTGATGAAGTAAGGTCCTCGGTCCCTCAGTCACAGGGAAATAAATACGGCCAACAGTCTGAGTGAACCTGGAACCAGCCTCTCTGGCTGACTCTCCGGATGAGAGTGCAGCCCAGCCGACACCATACTGCAGCCGGTGAGGCCTGGAGCAGAGACCCCACACAGCCGAGCCTGGACTTCTGACCCACAGTAACTGGGTGTTTTCAGCCACTAAGCTTGTGGTAATTATTATGCAGCCTAAAAAACGAACACACACGGTCCTTCTGAGTGCTGCTAAACATCCCACCTTCCCTACCTGCAGCAGACAATCAGGGCTTAATCTCTCCTTTGCCGTCACTGATGTTCGGGGCCCCTGGGCTCTGGGCCGGCCCGTGGTGGCGCAGATGCCTCGATCTATCTCCCCGCCACTCTCACAGCAGAGACCCCTGGCTTCCAATAGGCGCACGCGGCTCACGGTAAACACCACGGCACCAGCCTCCTTGCAGGGAGACACAGCCACAGGACTGAGTTCCCACCAGGGGCTTGAGCAGAGGTGATGCGCACAGTTCCCGAACGCCTCCTTAAAGCCTGGGGAGCACCCTCCCTCGCACCCCCTTCCTGCTGGCTGCGATGCAGCCTGAGGTGAGCCAGCTTGGTTAGGCATTATGTGCCCCAGTGAATGGGGCACTTTACGTCACTCCGCTTGCTGCCAGGAGGTGGCCCTCCGTCCTCAGCCCTCTCCAGGAATGCCCTCAGCTGAAGATGGAGGCCTTGCTCAGAGCCATAGCCCCCTGCGGTCCCTGCAGGAGATGAAGTCCCAGCCCCTCACCTGTGCTCGAGACACCTCAAAGGGCCACCCCACCCCATGAGGTTGCATCACAAAGCAGGTGCTCCCTCTGTCCAGCAGCATCTTGGGACCCCTCCTGCGTGCAGATCTCGCCCTGGGGTTAGCCTGCAGCCTGGTGAACAAGTCCGCACCAGGGGACTCGGAGAGTTACAAGTGAGGAGGTGCCTGAACCCCACCAGCTTGACCTTGACATGAGAGAGACAGAAAGAAACCCCCACCTCTGCTGCTTTGGTTTTCTTCGTTAGAGTTAATATATCAGGCTGCCTATCTGGACTGAGTCCCTGTCACTGCACGCACCTGTAAGTTTCCTGCCCCCGGAGGGCTGTGCTTTTTCCGATTTGCCCTAAGACATCCCATAGACTGGTTTGTGCCCCATATGCCAAATGGCCTTGAAGACTTGCAGGAGAAGTCAAGGACGGCCCCTGCCTGCGCACGGTGGGATCTGCACGGGACTGGGAAGGCGGTGAGGCCAGTTACAGCATGACGGGTGGCCAGCAGAGTCAGAAGTCCTTACGGGAAGTTTCTTACAGAAACGCAGCTCACCCGGGAAGCATGCGGCTCACACAGGACCACAGAGCCCCTGCTGGCACTGGGCCTCCAGCTGCAGGATGATTTGCAGAGCATGCACGGCAGGCGGGCCTGTGTGGGGGGTGGCACGGGGTGATTGTAGAGGCCTCTCAGAGGCCTCGAATGATGCAGTCCATGCTAGCATGTTCAGGATCCTGTGTATCCGAAAGACCTTAACCTTTACTATCAAATGTGGGGAATCGATCACCAAGTTATTACCAATAACAGTGTATTTTACAGTGATGACACAAACAGATCAATAAAACGTGGTGACCACTGGAGTGATTTTGGCACCGGGGCTCCGCGCACATCATGGCTGGCAGAGAGAGCGCCTGATCTCGAGGCACCAGCTGCAGGGTGGAGAACGGGGCCAGCATGTCTGATCGTGCTCGCCTGCTGGGCACCAGGTGTCTGGAGGAAATTGATCTGTACCCGGCGGACCCCTCATACTCCCTTGCTCATGGAGGTCCCCCATAAATAGGGGTGGTCCCTGAGCTAGGGGAGAGTCTCTGGGAAGCCGCCTGTCTGAATCAAATACAGCAGAACCAGTTTCGGTTCAGGGGAGAGTGTCCGGCCTCCTCCCTGGTTTGGAGGATCCATTTTTGCCATTTCTGTGAACCCAGAGTTTGGTGTGTTTAAAGCTCCCACAGCCAGGGCTGTGGTGATTGTGCAGAGGACGTCCTTGGCTCCTGCAGGCCCTCTGCCTTCCCCAGTGGAAATGCCTGGGGGGTTTACATCACTCTAGGCAGCCCTTCACCAAGACGTGGGCATCCTGGGTGGTCTCCTTCCCCCATGCCTATACGCACTTCTCCAGGGGACGGACCCTCCTAATAGTCACCTGAAAACAAATCTTCACATTAGGTTCTGCTTCTGGGCAGCTTGTCCTAAGAAAAAAGATCCAGGGAAGTATGCAGGACCCGCACACAGAGGGGACAGCACTGTGCAGTTATTAAAAAACACAGCAGCTGCAGCTACTGATCTGGGGACACCTTTAAAATATACTGTTAAGGACGCCTGGGTGGCTCAGTTGGTTGAGTGTCTGCCTTCAGCTCAGGTCATGATCCCAGGGTTCTGGGATTGAGCCCCACAATGGGCTCCCTGATCAGTGAGAAGCCTGCTTCTCCCTCTCCCACTCCCCCTGCTTGTGTGCCCTCTGTCTAATACAAATCTTTAAACAAATACAAAAAATAAAATAAAATATACTGTTAAGTGAAAAAAGCAAGGTGCCTATGAGTGCATAGAGTATCCTTATTTTTTGAAAGGGGAAGGATAGAACTTACATTGTATGTGTTTGATCTTCATCCAGAAAACCAGCCGAAATTGAGACGCTAACCAAAGTGCCTAGGACAGTGAGTGGACGCAAGGGCACGTGTGTGGCTCTCTGTGGGGTTAGGTCACTGAGTGCCATGGGTTTCCACCAATCCAAAAAGTAAAATACAGACTCCTGGGCCCCATCCTCCTGGGAGTCTGCTGCAGCTGGCCTGGGGTGAGGAGCCAGAATCTTGAAAGGCTCCACGGCTGGCCGATGCTCCGCCAGGCTCGGAGGCCTTGTTCTGGACGATTTCACCAAGAGGCTTAACAAAACCCAACCACTAACACCCCGGTGGTGCTGCTTTCCGGGACACGCGCCAGCCCTCACTGGAAGCACAATTGAAAGCCTCCTTTCAATTCTGGTGACCCCCGATAGCGCGTGGGAGCTGGGGGCTCCCGGCTGGAGATCAGCCGCCTTCACCGGCCTCCGTGGTCCCTTCAAGCCCAAGCTTACTCCACGTCCCTGTTGCCATAGCAACGGCAGACACAACGGTTTCTGTGGATTTTGGGTCTATAAATAATTTCTAGATCGGTCGTTGTGGTGTGAACGGGGTGGGCTCGGCAGGGCGGTTCGTGGTGGCCGGGCCACTGTCCACGGGAAACGGCCATGCTTGGGAAGCAAGGTCACAGCGCTGTCCTGTCCCGCCGGGCAGGGGCAGCCTAGCCCCATCCTGCAGCGGTTTCTGCTTCAGAGACCGTATCTGGGGCGGTTCCATCTCGTCTGTGAACCCCAGAGATGTTCACCTCCGAAGTGGCTGTGTGGTGGCAGGGACGATGTGGGTGTTCAAAACCCCTTCTGGGGACTTGGGGACTAAGGAAGCCTCAAAGGAGCACAGGTGCGGGTCTCGCTGTTTCTGAGCCAGCAAGGACAGTCCTGTTGAATGCTCTGTTGGGCTGGGGGAGCTCGGGCAGAGCGAAGGGACCGGGGTCTGCGGGTCTGGGTTCTAGTCTGCCTGGCTCCCTTGGTGCCCAAAGCAATGCTTTCCACGTTCTGAGGATGCTCTTCTCCACCGGCCCTCCTCTTCTCCTTCTCCTCCCCCTCCTTCTTCTCCTTCTCCTTCTTCTTCTTCCTCTTCTTTCTAATAGTGTCTCCAGGGAAGGACTCACATTCACAAACCGAGGGCTGAGGAGGTGGATTTGGTGGTTAAGTCATTTGAAAATCCAGCTGATTGAACGCCTTTGCTCTCTGGTGAGAGTGAGTACCCGGTGGGACACCTGAAGGGCCCCCTGGCCCGTGGCCAGCTGCGTGGTGTGGCAGCAGGGCGTCGTGCTGACCCCCTAGGGCGGGAGCATGACGGCGGGTCCCCCATGCAGTTCTGCCTCTGAGGTTCCTGCTGTCCATGGCACATGGCACATTCCACAAGCGTGCCGGAGCCCCGTTCCATGCAGCTCTGTTTACTACAGTGAAGACCTGGAACGGCCTCATGTCTCTCTGGAGCGAGGGGTGGATACATTCCTCCTGGTGCCTGAGTACCAACAACCAGTGCGCAGTCAGAGAGAAAGAAGGGGTGGGTCTGTCCGAGGTGAGGCAGAACAGTCTCCGGGATGAACGAAGGAACAAGAACAAAGCACATGGATGCCCCCGCTTGTGTAAGAAGAGGTGCGTGCCATGTTGCAAACACACAGCTGTGTATGTGCACACATGTTCACGGATACACATACACGCATGCACGTGGATAAAGACTATTTCTGAGAAGAAACGGATGACCTTGCTTAGCTCTGGAAAGGTGGGTCTGGCACCCTGAAGGTTTGGGGTAGAAGGGGACTTACTTTTCATTGCACACCTCTCTGTAGCATTTGGGTCTTGTTTTATCATTTGCATACATTAATTTTTCAATTAAAAAAAAAACACAGATGAACAGAAGCATGAAAAAAAAAAAGAATGAAGGGCAGAAAACGAAAGGAGCCAGGAAGGGAGGCAGGAATCTTCATTTCTCCTGGCTTTCAGGGGGTTGTGCCTGGGAGGTCAGAGGGCAGGAGGCCCAGTGTGGTTTCAGTCTGGGCACTCAGCACAAGCAATGAAAATGCAAATCAGATAGGAAAAGGCTTCTCTCCGCCTGCGTCAGCCCCTGGGCTGGTAGGAAATGCATTCTGGAGGGCAAAGGGCAACTGTGAACTTGTGTTCCCTGACTGCATGGAGGCTGGGGTTTGGGCTTCGGGAGCAGCCGAGTGAACCGGGAAGCAGGTCTCAGGGCACTGCATCCACCCTCAGCCCAGGCGCAGCGTCCCCCGCCCAGTGCCGGCGTTTTCCACATTTCTGGAATGAACGCCGATCTCAGGCAGTCGGGCCTCCCGAGCTGGTGTCTGCTGACCGGCTGCGCTCACGGTGAGGGAGACCTGGCGTCAGCAGTGAGGGTCTAAGGGCCAGCCTCACCGGACACAGAGAACGCGGGGAGCACCTCTTTAAACAGAAGTGCTGGATGCGAGAGAATCGGTTGGCAGCGCGGGAAGAAACTGTCATAATTTCCACTTGAATTCATCTCATCCTTCACAGCTTCTCAGTTAGGTTTGCTAACGTGCACAAAGCCACAGCAGCGTGCAGATCCGGGCCTTCTGCGCAGTAACAGTGACAGCCCGGCCCCCAGCCGCTCACATGCACACTCATTCGCCCCTTACAACTCGGTGAGGTGCTCTCGCTCCCGGTGTGGGCAGAACTGGGCACCCCCATCCACCCGTCAAAGTCTTACCCCCAATGTGGCTGAACTTGCAGCAAGGATAGCAGATGAAAGGCGTTCCAAAGGGGGCCCTGACCCGAGAGAGCATCCTTACAAGAAGAGATGTCAGACAGCACGCTGCTCCCTCCATCGTGTGAGGATGCAATGGCAGGGTGGCGGCCTGCGAGCCAGAGTCCTCCCCGCAAACCATGATCTCGCACAACTGGCCTCCAGAGCCGTGGGACGGTTGGCGTGTGCTGTTTAAATCACCCAGCGTGTGGTGTTTTGTTAAGGCACCCACAGGACGCGAGCGGCCCTCGTCGTGCAGGTGGGGAAACGGAGGCGTGGGGAGTTTGAGGAGTGCGGCCAGGGCAGCCGGCAGGGGATGTGCCTCGGAGTTGGGCTGAGGAGCCCAGGCTTTTAATTACATAGAGTACGGCATGCTCTTATATTTTTTTAACCTCATATGGCAATATGTTAGAAAACGTCTGGAAACTACCAAATTAGAAAGAAAGCATGTGAGAATCTGTGCTACGCAGAATAACCACCCCAGTGATGTCCAGGTCCCAAGGCCCTGGAACCTGTGAATATTTACCTCACTTGGCAAAGGGACCCGTGTAGATGGAGGGTGTCGAGACGAGTGGATTGTTCTGGACGATTCAGGCGAGCCCTAAATGCAATCCCAAGTGTGCTCGTGAGAGGCAGGTAGGGGGGTCAGACGGGGGTGAAGACGCTGAGCTGCCGGCTGGGAAGATGGAGGGAGGAGCCGCAGGCCAGGGAGCATGGCACCTCCAGAAACTGGGAAAAGCAGGAGAACACATTCACCTCCAGAGCCTCCAGAAGAAACGCAGACCTGCAGACCATTTTAGGCTTCCGACCTCCAGAGTGTTAATACGAGGTTCGTGGCAAATCTCTGACAACAGCAGTAGAAAATGATTCAGAGTAAAAACTGCAGATTTGGGGGGTAGATCATCACGCAGATGGTATGGTTGGGAAAAGGAGCTGAAACACGCGGGCCTATGGACCTGCTCCTCTGCAATGAGACTTGGCAAATCTGCAAAGGGCTTGGGCCCACACAGTGTGGCAGAAGTGATGTGCGACCTCTGACCTCGGTTTTGAGGGGCCCTGCAGGCCCCGCTCCCACTCTCTCGGATGGCCACAAGGAGACCCAATCTGCCAACGGAAGATGAGGCCACGTGGAGCAGAAGAGAGCCAAGCAAGCTACATGAACCACCAGGCAGGTGGCAGTGGCCACCTCTGACCATGCAGCCCCGGTGTACCACCAAATCACTAGAGCCATGTGAGTGGTCCCACGCCATCCCACAGAAGGATCACCTGTGGAGCCCAGCCCAAACCGCCCTGCCCAAGGATCAGGAACGTGTAGATGCTGAAAACAGATCCCACCTCTTCGGGCACGGAAGTGGGGCCATCTCCCCATTACTCTCCACCTCTTCGGCCCCCAGTGCCACTCTCACTCCTGACAGGTCAGTAACAACGCCAGAGAGAACCCCCGTTCAACCTGCTCATCCTCACCACAAGTCTCGCAGGTGGTTGATCGCGGTATCACCGTTTGACAGATAAGGCACTGAGGCGGGGGGAGGTTAGTGGACCTGCCCAAGATCCAAAAGGTGGTAAGAGGAGGGAGTGGGCTTTGAACCCAGATTTATCTGACACCGGACCCACTGTCACGGAGCCTTTTGCTAGTCTGCTCCACTCACTCATTCATCCAAGATAAGTTTATTGAGAGTCTTTTATGTCCAGTGCTTGGAAAGATGAACAAAAGAGACGTGGTCCCTCTCTGAATAGCTATTCAAATAGAGTCGCCATCCACGGTGATCCTGGGCTTTGTGTTTGCTTCAGTGATGAACACGGAGTGGATGTGAAAGTGGCTGTTTGTTCCGAGTATAAACTAGGATTGTGCTCGGCTGTCACAGGAAACCCACTCCTGTGGCTTGTCCAGCTAAGCTGTCATTTTCCTCAGAAGACCCTGAAGACAAGAGTCCTGGGTGGACAGCAACAGGATGGCATCATCTGTCTTTCTGCCATGCCGTCCATTCCTGAGGCAGGGTTTGTGGCTGTGGGCTTGGCTACTGCTGCGCTGGTTGGGGTCACGGGCCCACTCCTGGCCCGATCCCCATGGTTGGAGAGACCGTGAGTTACACTTGGCCCAGCCTGGGTCATGGGCTTCCTCTATGGACAGAGGATGGGTCTGTCAGACAAAGGGGAGGCCGGGAGCAGGAGAAAGGAGTTACAGGTTGTGTTTTCCCAACAGTATCTCCCACCTACACGCTCTTCTTATAGTAGGATTTTTCTGCTCCTCCCAAAAGAAGTGGGGACTAGATCTCTTTCCCTTGAGTTGAAGCAGGCTTGTGACCATGGTCAAAGTAACTCTGTCCCAGATCTGGTGCTGGGTCATAAAGGTGATGCACCTTCTACCCACTTCTCTTGGGATGCTCGCTCTTGGAAGCCGGCTGCCATGGAGAGGTCACATGCCGGTGCCCGAGTGAGGTCCCATCAGCCCTGTGAGTGAGAGAACCTTCAGCAGATCTCAGCTCCCAGCCACTGAATCACCCTCAGATGCTGAGCTGCCCCACTTGAATCCACATAGAGCACAGACCCGCTATCCCTGCCAAGCCCTGCTCAGATTACAGATTTGTCACCATGATGCATGATTTCCTTTTTCTTCTGGTGACTAGGTTTGGGGTAGTTGGTTAGGCGGTGCCAGAAAACCAGAACAAGAGGAGGTGAGCACAGGTGAAGGACAGACGTGCTCAACCACATCCTTTCTTCTGGGAGGTGAGGGCCAAAAGGCAGCAGGCACATGAGACGGAAGGAGAAAGGCACAGAGACTCCAGGCTCGCTGGCAGCAGAACAAGGGCATGGTGCCTGGGTGTGCCTGTTTCTCGCAAACATGGAAGAATCTAAGCTGACTATTTGGTTGCAGGCTAGCTGGACCAGAAGAAACCCAGAGACGCTATATCTGGGACCAGTGGAGAGTGAAACACGGGATTTGTGGGGCTAGCACCAGGAAACATTTGCTCCCCACCCTGCTGTGCCTCCTCTCTGACCAGGTGGAACCAGACCCACCCACATTCTTGCACCAGCTCTGGCCTTGGGCACAGCCCATCCTGGGGACCAGTGGCTCTGTGATAGACTATGCTCTTGGGCCTCCATCTAAGTCCTGCCGTTCGCTGCTCTGTTCCCTTGGCTCTAGATCCGAGTTTTTAATTACTGGACATAACCTTGCTAAACTCTTATCATTCCTAATTATTTTTTCCCTGTAGATTCAAGTTTTTTGTTGTTGTTGTTTTTTGTTTTTTTTTAAAGATTTTATTTATTTATTTGAGAGAGAGAGAATGAGAGAGAGCACATGAGAGGGGGGAGGGCCAGAGGGAGAAGCAGACTCCCCGCCGAGCAGGGAGCCCGATGCGGGACTCGATCCCGGGACTCCAGGATCATGACCTGAGCCGAAGGCAGTCGCTTAACCAACTGAGCCACCCAGGCACCCTAATTGTGTTCTTTTTAAGAAATCTAAAAAAAAAAAAAAAATTTATTTTTATCTTAAGTAGGCTCCATGCCCAACATGGGGCTTGAACTCACGACCCTGAGATTAAGAGTCGCATGCACCGGTGACTGAGCCAGCCAGATGCCCCAGCTAATGTTTAATTTTGTTCTTAATTTACCAGTTTTTAAGATAAAAGGATGTTGAGTTTTAGCCACTGCTCTTTCTCCACTGGTGCAGATGATCACCTGGTTTTTCTCCTTTAATCTGCTACTGTGATAACTGACATTTATAGATTCTCAAATATTAAATCACTCTTGTATCCCTGGTGTAAATTTACATTTGTTTTAAAGCATCACCATTTTATATATCAAAGACTGGGTTTGCCAATATTGTAAGGCTTTTGCATCTATGTTCATGGGTAATGTTGACATATAATTTTCCATTCTCCCACTGTTGGTGTCAGTATTCTTTTAGTATCAAGACTACACTGGCCTCAGAGAATGAGTTTGGAAATATTCCTCCTTTCTGTATTTGCTGGAGGAGTTTGTGTAGACTTTAAACGCCTGGTAGAACTACATCTGTAAAATGCACTGGGCTCGATGTTTTCTCTGTGGGAGGATTTGGAACGACAGTTCAGTATCATCTTTGGTTGCAGGACTGTTCAGACTTCCTCCTTCTTTGTGAGCCGGTTTTGGCTGATATGTTTTTTTCTAATACTGTTTCCATTTCCCTGCCGCTGCCTGCATTGGAAGAATCCTTGTCTGGCCAGCTCTATGTGACGGTCCAGCCTCCTGAATCTGAGCTGCCCTCGACTCTCTGGGGAAACCCAGTCTCCTTCTGCTCCTCTCTTCCTATGTTGGCATCTGAATCAGGATGATGCGGGCTGCAGGTAGCAGATCGTTGGGCTAAAAATGGCTTAAACAGCAAAGAATTTTTACGATTTAGTGTGAGCAGCTCAGAGTCAGGCAGCTCCAGGACTGGGTGAGGGGACTAGGGTGCCACTGAGGACCCCGCCTCTTTCTTTCTGCTCCCTCATCCCCGGCACATTCGTCTGCACACGGAACACGACAGCTGCTGTCCCTATAGGCATCACATTTGTGGACATGGAAACACCCAGGAACAGGCGCAGCTCAAGCTTTGCAAGACTTATTATGGGGGAGGAAAGCATTCCCCCAAAGCAGCCCCCACAACAGGCTCTATTGGCTAGGGTCAGGTTCCGACGGAGGTCTTCACCTCTACAGTGGGGGGCAGGCCCTGCAGCCAGGAGTGGGAGGGGCGCTGGGCAGGAAACTGCGTCTGCCCCAGCACCCTCGGGCTTCACCCATGGACTGTCTCAGCTGACCCCCTCCTGACCTCTCTGGCCTGCTGCCACCCAGGCCAGCCTGACAGAAAGTACTAGCACCCATGGTGTGCGGGTAAATGTTTAACAACAGGCTCTCGGTGGGGTGGGGTGGGGGGCTCGTTTGAAGGTTTGCGGATTTCCAGGATATAAAGACTCCCACTTTGGTTGATTTCAAGCTACCAATCAAAGTCATTGACTGCAGAGTTGGCAAGAGTGCATACAAGCGCGCTCCAGAACATCCCTCACTAAAACCCACTGGATCCTATAAATGTGAGCTGGGTTGAAGGCGGACGCCCTGCCCTAGCCAGAGAACAATAATTAGGCATTAAAGGGGCTGCCCTCCCATGAATGAGACCATGTGTTGAACACCTACTATGGACTAGTCAGGTACAAAACACTGTCTTGATTCCTCTTAACCGTCCATTTGCTCAATGAGGAGACGGAGATGCAGAGACGCTAAGGCACACAGGGCCTTATATGGAACTGGATCCCAACCCAGGCTTGTCCCATCCATGTCCTTCCCCCCCAAACAAAGGCCCACATGTGGAATAGACTCAGCTTGCTCTCGTTCAGCCCCCAGGATGTCCCGATGGTAGCGTCATCAAAGTGGAGTGTTATTCATAAGAGCCCAAAACGTGGGGAAAAAACAAGTATCCAGGAACTAATAAATGGATCAATAGTGTGGTCTACCCAGTGGAGTATCATTCAGCCATGAAGAGTAATGAAGTCACGACTCTGGCTGCAATGGGGATGAACCCCGGAAACATGCTGAACATGGGGATGAACTGAAACATGCAGTCATGATGGACCAGGCATGGTGTGACTCCACGTACGGGAAATGTCCAGAATACACAAATCTACAGGGACAGAAAGTAGATCAGCGGTTCCAGGGGCTGAAAGGAGGGGGAGTGGAGAGTGACTGCTACTGGATATGGGGCTTCTTTTGCAGGTAATGAAATTCTGGAAGTAGGTAGTGATGATGTTTGTGCGACTGTCTGAATATCCTAAAAGCCACTGGATTATAAAGCAAACAAAGTGCAGGATTAATCGAAAAGGGATTCTGCGCACACACACACACACACACGCACACGCACACACACAAGCACACACCCAGCTGAGGCCTTCTACAGACCTCTTGTGATCACTGAGCGGGACTGGCCAAGTCGCCCGGCTAAGGAAGTCTTTAGTCCGGGGTCCTGGGCTAAGGAAGCACTTCACATGCATGTTTCCCACTAAGTCCCTCAACACCCCTACAGGTGGGTCGGATTATTAACCCCATTCCACAGGTGAGAAAACGGAGGCTCAGAGTGAAATTAAGCAACTGGGCAGTTGACAGCAAGAGTCAGGACTTGGACCCTGGTCCATTGGACTCCAAAGTTTGTGTTCCTAATGCTTCACTGTTGTAAAGTGAGCTCTGGGTTGCTGGGGGACTCCTCTTTCCTCCTCCAGGGTGCCGGTTCAGGTGACTCTGCAGCTCACAAGGCTACCTAGCCTAGAAGCAGCCCCCCATCTCTCAGCAGGAAGACTGAGTGCTGGAAGAAAGGGCCCTCTGTTATGGGAAAGAAGGGTCCCTGCTCTGACACTCAGTTCTTTGGCTACACCACTGGGTGACCTAGGTAAGCCCCATCCCATCTGCAGCCTCATTTTGCTTACCTTAAAAAATGAGGGACCCCACACATCACTGGTCCTCAACAGGAGCACTGCTGCCCCCTAAGGAATATTCTGGAAATTTGCAGGGCTTCCATGAGTGGGACAATTCCCCAAAATGGAGAATCCCCCCAACCCCTCCACTTTCCAGTGTCCCACCAGACCTTCATGGAAATGAAAGATCTTGGAATTTATGGGTCAAGAACCTAGCTCCGTTTTCTGTTTGTCTGCTTTTTTGCAGAGCTATAATGTGCGCTGGGTCATCCAGGACTGCAACTACCGTGCAGTCAAGGGGAAGTGGTTGCTTCCATTTGGACTTGGCCAAGAGTCGGTCACCATTTTGGAATATCACATCGCCGGAGCAATGCCTTCATGGTGTTTGAGCCTCCGTGGGACACAGCCGTGTCACCAAGCTTCTCCCTCTGGTGCAAGCGACTGACCACTGTATTGTCTAGTAGGGTCAGCCCCAAACATTTATCTTTGAAATCCATACTGTTTAATTTTAGATGACCTCTCCTTTATGTTACAGTTAGGGCCTCATGTTGGTTGTTTTTTGCAATGGGTGTGTGTCCTATGAATTTCATTTCAGAATAAGAAAAAGAGCATTCAAAAAAATTTTTAAGGTGTTAGTTAGGGCTGAAATAGGTCTGGGGACCACTGAGCTCCGTTTGATTTCTTCAGATCCCTTCCAGCTTCTAAATAATGAAACCTGACCTCAGAACACTTTTTCCACAATTCTAATAAAACCGAGTGTGTAGGGGCGCCTGGGTGGCTCAGTCGTTAAGTGTCTGCCTTCGGCTCAGGTCGTGATCCCGGGGTCCTGGGATCGAGCCCCGCATCGGGCTCCCTGCTCCGCGGGAAGCCTGCTTCTCCCTCTCCCACTCCCCCTGCTTGTGTTCCCTCTCTCACTGTGTCTCTCTCTGTCAAATAAATAAATAAATAAATCTTTAAAAAAAAAAAAAAAACCGAGTGTGTAGTGCCTTTTAAACAATTTCAAAACCGTCGCTGCGCCTCAGTGGCCCACGT